TAGCGTCCTTGCTCCTAGTAGTAAGGCCAGGAGCCCCTGGTAGCGTCCTTGCTCCTAGTAGTAAGGCCAGGAGCCCCTCGTAGCGTCCTTGCTCCTAGTAGCAATGCCAGGAGCCCCTAGTAGCTTAATGGAAAGAGTAAAAGTGAATGTCAAGAGTAGATGTGGCCCAAGACGGGTCCTTTGTTGATATTCCCCAGGACACGTCGCCCGATAGAATGCAAATGAACAGTAACAAGATGTGCCCAGTAGTTTCATGTAGTTTCTCTGAGGATCTCACCAGCAGGACTATGCACACCACACGCCGGTCATGCGATTTCAACTTGATGACGGAAGCCTGCCACGATGACCGAAGCTGTCAAATCCCAATTTGGGGCAACGTTCACTCGGGAGCCACAGAGCTCAACAACGACACAACACCTCAGTAAAATGACATGTTGCCTTCAATGCAGCCAAATGAACCATCTAACAATAGCTTCCAGACCAATGGTCTCGAGTTTTTGCCTCCGTTTTCTGCAAGACGTCCGACCTTTCGGGCCAACCTCGCCTCAAAGAGAAGCTCCGCCGCCACCAACGTGGAGCTCTTCGACCGCGTGAAGCGCCGCGACGAGGCGCTCCGCCGCACCGCATCGGCGTCGGCGGGGTCCTCCGGTTGGGCATTTGGGGCAGAATGGTCGAACAACGTGTCTATCATATAGTAGTTACAATACTTCTTTACTATATCTTACTATTTTAATCTATTTCAATTCACTACAGTTGAAGCTCAGTCATTCGTCTTGCCGAACCACTCACACGGCGAGAGCCCCCTCCTGCTTGGGGCTGCGAGCCCGCACCAGTAGCCCTGCCAGCCTGGGCTCGTCCGGTCGTCATTGCCGCTCCGGTCGTCCGGTCGTCCGGGGCTGCTGCAGGAGGCTGGCGGCCAAGGCCAAGAGGCCGGAGAGAGCCACAGAAATGGCACCTCACAAGACCGGAAAGGATCTCCACAAGACCAGATTTATATAGATGGTCTTAGACCAGAAATAGATGGTCTTTGTCATCTTTGTCTCAGCTTCACACAAGGTCCCAGCTGAAGTTTAAAGTCAGCTGGCCAAATGACAATGGCCCCATCCTCAATAAATCTCAATCAGCTAAGCTACAAGCGACCTACCATGAGCTATCTTCTGAACGGAAGGTCCAACTGGAGGCTCCAAGTGCCAGGCTGTTTGGGCAAAGACAAATTCCGCTGCCAGCATGTGCAGCCTTGCCAGCAGAATCCCTTCAGGGGAAACAAAATAAAGTCGATCAGAACTGCCGTGCACAGTCCGAGCAACAGGCTTGTTGTGAAAGCGTGACAAGTATCCAACCTTAGGTAGCAAGAACGCTATTAGGTGGAGGCCATCGCAAGTAGGTTGGAGCCCATCGCTAGTAGTAACAAGAAGCCATTAGTGACAAAGGGCATCGCTATGAACGGAGTAAGGACGCTACTGGTAGCGCTCCTGGCCTTACTAGTAACAAGAAGCTTCTAGTAGCAAGGAAGTCAGATCTTGGAGGTCTGAGAATGTCTGAGATCGATCCTCAATCGGGTTTCCACACGAAGGCAAACAGCGTGGCTGCCTCAGGGCATTCAATGTTCTCAACAAGAGCGCCATGTTCGAACGCCGTGAGAACTGTCACATGCGCTTGCAAAAAGAAAGACTGAGCTGCAAACTGTAACACAGACTTGCAAAACTAATGCTGCTCCGTACAAAGCCTTCGAGACGCCACCAGTCGGAAGTGAGAACATGTCGCTCTTGAAACGGCCATCAGACGCTGAACTTAAAATCTAGACTAAGACTGCACCCCACAAAAAGAGTCTCCCAGGATTACCGCGGTAAGCCCATGCCAAAAATCCTGCAAACACCGGAAATGGAAGAAGATAGAAGAAGGTTCTGGCACGGCAAAGCAAGGCAAAAGCAATGCAAAAAGCAATGCAAAAAGCCATGCAAGCACCAGGTGCTGTGGTAGGACCTTCCGTTCGAACGGAAGCCGCTCGAGGGTCCCCTCGGCTCCGCGCCCGGCCCCGGTCCGGCGCCTTGGCATTGGCTCCGCGCGCCAGGCGCCTGGCGCCGGAGGCCTCGCCGTTTGGATTTTGTGGTCTCAAGACATCCCAAAGGCATCCAAAGGCCAGAGGCACGTGCTTTGAACCACATGCTTTGACATCTAGAGAAGTGTTGCAATTTCGCCTGGACAATAAGGCTGCCAATCCTGCCACAAGAAGCTGCCAATACTTCTTATCAGTGTGTAGCTTGAGGTCCAACAAAAAATCAAACAACATGTCGGAAGAGCTGCAAGGCAATACCAATGCCACATCGTTGCTCAACAGCGTCAGCCTTGCAGGAAGATCGTGCAATACTCATATTATTGCAGCAGTTGCAGATTCGCACACTTCTGAGACTGCTCAGCCCCACCGCAACAGGCAATGTCGATTGCCACGTCCACGTCGTATTCCTTTTCCGGTTCCTGTCACTACGAGAGTCCAAAACTGTAACTATATACTCCAAAATAGAACTCAACGTCCCAACCTCATCTCAAAACTCCTCTTGTCTCATCTTTCTCTGAATCCACCCTCATCCGTCTTTCATTCGGACAATATTCCAACTCCTCCGCAAGGTCAAGGCCAGCCACGTGGCCGCTTGCTGCTCGTAGTCCCAGTCCTCGCGGAGTGACTCCCCTCCGTCCGAGTCGTCACCGGTCCACCAGGCGTCCGTCGCATCCTGCAGCGCCGCACGGCGCATCTCGAGCTCGTCGCCGTCCCAGGCGACGGGCGACCGAGCGTCGTCGCTCGCCCGGCGGCCCAGGCGGGCGACGGCCGCAGGGCCATGCCTCGGTGCGGAGACGCCCTAGTAGCGACCGTTCGGAGCGTCCGATCGCTCCGTTCGTAGCGATGCCCTTTGCTCTGTTCGTAGCCAATGCAATGTGCGGATGCACTTGTTGGTCATGTCGACGCAAAAGCACAGGGGAAAAGCTGCTTTGCGGATAGACGCTCCACTCAAGCAAAGCTGCTGGTTTGAGCGGCCCAGCTGCTTTCATCCAAAGGGCCCTCAAAACCTCTCTTTCTTATCCGTCAGATGTTCCATAAAACAAAAATGTGCCCACATGTTTCTTGTTTCTTCACTCAAGCGATGTTTCAGTTTGCTTCCCTGATACCTTGGTGAAGGTTTCAAGGGAACATCGCTTTGAATGCTTCAAGCCTTTCCGCGGCTTGGGCTGTCATCCTTTGCAAGCTTGGGGTGTTGTCAACACCATGACTAAGGCAACTAAGGCTACTGCACAAAATGGTACAGCGGCACGGGCGGAATGTGCAAGGGAGGTGGTGCCTGGAAGGTGCAACAAGGACATGAAGAGGATTCATGCGAGTGTGTCTGAACATGTCTGAACTATGAGCATCCTGCGCACCTGCTTCCACGGCAACGCTGGGTCTGGATAGAACAAGACCTCGAGCCGTGCCTGCCTGAGTTCAGGATCTGTCCATGATACGAGCAAGTCAAACACATGGAAACCTTGTTCCAGGTAGAGATGCTTGTCTATAGGAATATGTGCCCTCCAAATTCTCACAGACTCTTAGCTGTGCCCCAAAAACCTCCTGCAGATCTTGATATCTTTTTGATATCCGAGTATCACTACTAGGAGCGATCGGACGCTACTAACTAGGGGCTCCTGGCCTTACTACGAACGGAGCGATCGGACGCAGAACTTCTGCCAAGATGCCAGAGGTCATACTCCGCCACCAGGTGATGCTGTGCCCGCGGCGGCGAGGCAGAGGCCCGGCCCCACACGCCCGGACAGAGCAGCGCCACTGCGAGCAAAACCACAGCCTTGCTTGGTCAGAGAAGCTGTACAGGTCATCAAGCTGTACAGGTCTTGGGGACGGCATTTTGAATGGAAGATGGTGGGACTTCTTAAGAACCAGGATAGAAATGTGTTTTTTCAATGTCTTTTCAGCTCTCAGGGCTGTCAGCTGGTGCATCGCCGACACCGTTGGATTGGTTCTACCATACAATGATGGAAACGACCATTGTTCTGAATGTCGGGTTGGCCTGAGGGATTGCTGCGATGCTTGTCTTCCGCTTACCAACCTAAAAGACCAGCTTTGACCCATCACTTGCTGGGGCCTCGCACGCCCAAACTCAGCACCGCAACGGCGGCAAATCCCTCACGACACCATGTCGTAAACCGTGAAGCGACACATGTGGAGATGGAATACAAAGGAATGCAGCGACACCCGCCTTGGGCTCCATTCGCACCAGCCAGGCCACATCCCGCAGAAAACCCCGCAATAAAACCACCAGGAGGACCGCCCGGGGCAGTGCCAGTCTCTGATGAGTCACGGTTTCGGGTCTCCCGATGCGTCTCCAAATCTGTGTCTGATGAGTTGCTACATCCCTGAAGGTTCCTAGTCCTACTAGTCCTACAGTAGGCGGAAAGTCTCAAGCTTCTGCACTCAAGCTGCCTTCTTCTGTTCTTTCGTGTCCCTTGAGTCAGTGATCAAGTGTCCGACAAAGACCAAGCCATCAGTCTCTGCTATGCTTCACCGACATGCTAGGAGAGACAGGGGCTGGTGAGCTGGAGCTCCTTCCAGTGCAAACGCTGGCATTGCTGGCTGCAGTATTTGACAGCCTCAGAGCATGTGGTTTGACCGTCTGTGACAGCCTCTTGGCTGGAAAACTGGATGGAAGTGGTGCTGAGCTCTCCACTTTACAGACGGAGCATATATGTGTGCCCTGAAATTGAGAAGTCATGAGTCACAACAGTCATGAGTCACAAGTCTGGAAGAATAGAGGTCACATATTACGTATGGTAACATTAAAAACCTTTTCGGACGCGTGCACTCTGATTCTTCAAACTAAACGTTTGTCGTCGCCTTCTCACCACACTTGGCGCAAGGTTCCATGCTCTAAACCTGCGTTGGATTGAAACGCTTAGGAAGAGCTGAGCGCTGTATCAAAGTACAGGTTGTCTAAAGACTCCACAGGAAAAGTCTAAAGGCATCTAAAGACTATTCGTGTGCCCAACAAATCCCTGACAGTTGACTACTGCACATCTCACCAAGAACAACCAAAAGCCGAGCGCCTACTACACAAATCTGGACTATCAGCCAACATTGGGCTGACAGGGTTCTACTACGAAGTCCCTTTGACTCAGAAAGCAACAGAAAAGATTAGCAGGCAAAAGGTGAAGTATTTCATGGAGTTTGTGGTATCGTGATGATTTGCCTCTCTCTCTCTCTCTCGTTCACCCTCAGGAATCTTGATCATCTCTCGTTCACCTCTCGCTACAAGAAAGTCTACGCAACGCCCTGAATCTACCTTGATGCACCAATGCTCTTTTCGGTGGAACTCCAGCGAATCTTGGTGACAATGACCCGTCACTGCTCGATCTTTCAAACTCCAAACCACCATTCGGACGAATGGAACCGGACAAGAACCAAGAACGGATAGAGGATGGAAGAACATGGAAGAACATCAATTGCGTTGAAGAGACCTCTCAGCAGTGACAGTGGTGAGAGTTCCTCGAGTTGACTCGGTGAGATCACGGGCTACGCTGGTGCGCTCGCACTCCTAGCTACGACGTGTCAGATCTTCTCGTCGTGTGGAAGACACTGTGCTGAGCTGGAACGACCCCTGAAACAGGTCCACAGTCCTTAGCCCAGGCACAAAAGGGATGGCCTCCAACCTACTAGCAATAGGCACAAAAAGGGGGTTCTTCACCTCAGCATTGTCATTCTGGAGGTCGGATCAGCATTGCCCTCATCCACTCTCCCAGGCGACGCTGAGGCATCCACTCAGTGTCCTACCACGATCCCTTCCAGCCACGATCCGCCTGTAAAAAGGCGAAAGCGGCGCAGCTCGGCTGATTACGTCAAGGACGATCTCAGCCGATTGACCACGTCACAGCGGTCAGGAAGTCTTCCTATCCAGTTTCGTCATATGTCACATGTCATGCACATGGCCTGCCTTCCAATCGGTCTCCTCCCATTCATCCCAATCCTGAGACCAATGACCTGAGAGGAAAAACATCAGTGCGTCTCAGTGCGTCTCAACCGACCCCTTGAATTGTGGCCCCATGGCTTCAACCTGCAGTCCCCAAGCACCGACCCCCGGTCTACAACTTCCTCACAGTTGGACCGCGTCCAGCGAGGCGACTCCAAGCGACTCCTTTCTTCCCCGCCAAGGAGCCGTTCCCAGTCCATTGCCTCCCTTTGCCTGGGACCAGCACCGAAGTCGTGAGGGGCTTTCTGTTACGTTCGGTTCGCGTCCCATCGCTCCGGCTAGTAGCGATGCCCTTTGTTACGTTCGTAGCGATGCTAACCTTTCAACACGGCCTCACAGCTTGGAGACCCTTTTCCATTCCGCCGCCCAAACCGCTGCCTCGAACAGCACCTTTTCCATTGCGCTCGAAGCCTGACCGAGACCCTGACAACAAATGGGATGTATATTCTATTAGGGTGGAGGCCATTGCTAGTAGGTTGGAGGCCATCGCTAGTAGGGTGGAGGCCATTGCTAGAAGGGTGGAGGCCATCGGAGAATTGGATGTACAGTACATGTTATTGTACATGTTGGATCAATATTTCATGCATGTTCCGTGCAGGTTTCAGGCTTGCGGCTTTTCCAGCCTCCATCGCTTCTGGCAAAGTGTTGGTCTCCTACGCACGGCTTTGAGCTATGCCAACACTCTCTCGCTTGCACAACACACAGACTCTCCAACAGAGTCCCGAAGGAAAATCGCAAACCCGCTACATCGCCGTCCAAAAGCAGCAGAAAGGGCTTGCTTGGATGAGTCAAGTACATAAATCCAAGAGTCGAAATACTCAGATTTCATGAGATTTCAGTTGGCTGTTTCATGCTGTTTCCACAGGGAGCCATTAGTAGCGACCGCCTCCAACCTCATAGCGATAGCCTCCAACCTACTAGCAATGGCCTCCAACCTACTAGCAATGGCCTGTTGGATAGGTTGATATAGACATTAGTAAGAAAGCATGACGGACACTGTTCCTCGCACATCGCACGGCCCGCCTTTGTGACCAGACTTGCCCCGAGCAGCTTCACCTTGCCAGGTGTCAACTCCCCACCCAAAAAGAATGGTGGAGAGGAATCCGAAGAGCCCCGTTCGTAGCGTCCTTGTTACTAGTAGCGATGCCCTTGCTCCTAGTAGCTTCTTGTTACTAGTAGTAAGGCCAGGAGCCCCGAACGTAGCGTCCTTGCTCCTAATGAACAAAGCCATAGACATCCTGCTTCAGATTCCCAGAGATCCAAATGTTTCCTCACTTGGTCACAGTCCGTCGACACCGGCAGGACAGAGCGAACTTGCCTCCAGAACGTGTCTTGGCCTGTGCAGTTGACTCTGAGCCGAGTGGAACTTCACATCCGGGTGCTTTGGATGTTTCGACCCATCGTTTCTGCCATTGCTTGCCTCGTTCTTCCCCTTGCCATGGGCTTTCCCACCACGGTCCGGATTGCCTTACATCAAGCGAACTGTCTTCCCTACACCTCCACTGCATACGAGAAGTAGTATCTGATTGGCCCAAGAAGTCTTGCTGAGGCAGAGGCCTTCACCTAGCCACAAGTGATTCAGAAAAGAAACGCCTTAAGTATATATAGCTCACTCGAAACAGCTTGGTGCCAGGCCAATTGCAGGCTTTTCCTGCAAGAATGGAGAAAGAAAAGGAACAGCAGTTTTCATGATCTCCCTGCTCTGCCAGTGCCTGCTTCAGCGCAGGCTTCCACAATTCTCCGTCACGATCCACAAGGTAGACAATACGCCCCTGAAGAGGATAAGAAGAACAAGAAGCGCGAGGATCTTGGGAAATTTGTTGGAGGCCATCGCTATTAAGTTGGAGGCCATTGCTAGTAGGTTGGAGGCCATTGCTAGTAGGTTGAAGGCCATTGCTATTAGGTTGGGAGTCATACTCTACTTGGGTTTTGCATGTCTCGGCCAGGCCTCAAGCTTGAAGGTCGTCGGGTTGGCCCTCAGAAAGGCTTCCAGGGATACCCCGGTCTTCTCCTCGCATGAGTTCTGAAGCAAACAGGTGACTTCAAGATCTGATTTTGACTTCTCCGTCCTTGAAGGACCTGATTTGCTTGGTGAGCTGATTCAAGCTACAGCAGCCATTAAGGCGCTTCAGCACATGCGAGATGTTTACCACCAAAGCAGTTCTGGGAACCATCAAATCCAGGACCTCAGCATTGCTCATCACCATCCCACCATCCCACATCATCTCACCATCCCAAGTCCGACTTCACAAGCGCTGAGCTCAAAGCTGCGTGTTCCGGTGGCGGATCATCTCCATTGAAGGACTCCTCGCTACCAGCGGCCTCATCCTGCCGACGTTCGGACCAAACCCTGTCGACGGCTCATGCTGGACCCGCACCTCCACCTTTGCAACGATCTCCTTGGGAGGCCTTGAACCCGCTTCGAAACACCATGTCATTACTCCATTAGGTCGCTTGAGGGAATGGAATTCACTACAGTATTGCAAACAAGAGCGCTTCTTCAATATAGCTTTGGCTACAAGTCAACCAAACGGTGATCGGAAGACCAAACGTGCGCCTTGAAACTGTGCCCAGCTCCTAGAGATGCTTCGAGCGAACAGGAATAGCTTAATGGTCTGTGGAATAGCTGTGTTTCTTCTAGCGTTCTTGCTCCTAGTAGTAAGGCCAGGAGCCCCTAGTAGCAACCTTGCTCGAACCACACTCCTGAACATGTTGGCGTTCCGGAACGAAGGGCGGACGTTCTTGGACTTGTGAACGTTGGGATTGTGGCTCTCGACCGCCATACAGGTTCCTGACCTGCAGATCATGCCAAAAATACAAAATATAGTAGTAATATGTCTAGTACCCTTGATTGTTACTACTAGCTTCTACTTACAGTATAGCTTCTTGCTACTAGTAGTAATGCCCTTGTTACTAGTAGCGATGCACTGGTAGTAGTAGTGTGGATTGTGGATATAAGATTTGTTGAATCTCACCTTCGCAGCGTCGAGCTCCGTTTCCTGGAAGAAGTTGTCAGAAATCATGTGCATATGACTTTCTACGCGAAAAAGCTCCTAGTAGCGTCCGATCGCTCCTAGTAGTACGGCCAGGAGCCCCTAGTAGCGTCGTTGCTCCTAGTAGCGATGCCAGGAGCCCCTACTAGCGTCATCTTCCCAAGGTTGCGAGACTCGTAAACCAAATCATTTCTTACTTCTACGGCCGTGTGTGTGTGTGTGTGCTTGGGTGCTCCTGCACAAAATTCCGACGTTCCGGAACAAAGGGTGCACGTTCTGGAATATGCGGACGTTGTGCTTCTGGCTCTTGACCCCGAGGTACACTTCTGACCTGCAACTTCTTTTG